ACGTACGTGTAGTCGGAGCGCTTCTTGTGCATCTCGGACTCATCGAGGTACAGGGCGTTAGTTATGTCCATGTCGTATTCATCCATGAAGGTGACCAGTTCGTCAGTGACAAGGCGCTCGATCTTGACTCCAGGGAAGTCGAGCTCGTCGCGCGTGTATCTGGGCAGCAGCTTCTTGAACAGGACGACGGATTCGACGACGCGCTTCATCACCCTCCAGAACAGCGGATCGCGTAGGCATGTCGTGTACATGTCAAGAGCGGTCGGCACATACGTGTACCTAGAAAATTGATAGGAAACATTAATCTAAATAAATGCGGAATTATTTTTTCTGTTTAGGATGGCAATATTTTTTTTCTAAATCTTTTGTAATTATATGTTGCTGATATACGTACTTGTTAACGTTGTAAAGGTTGTAAGAAAGGAGTTGTTTCATCACGTTGGTGACATGGATGACCTTGGCGTCGTCGTGCTGCAGGCCCATTCCGCCGAGGATCAGTCTGCACAGGTACTCTACATCCTCAGTCTTCTTCAGGCTTATGGTTGTTCCGTCACGCTTAAGAAAAAGAACATATAAATGTTAGTAATCTTTCGATGTTAATATAAAAAATGATGTAATTCTAATAACTAATAACCACTAGATACTTACTCGGACGATTTGTCCAGTAAGGATTCCTTCACGGATGATCTTTTCGATGTCGTCCAACAGAATCTTATCCTTCAGATTCTCTTTGGTGACCAGCTGAACGTAGTTGTGACGGACGGGCATTTCATCACCAGTGTGCAGACGGATCTTAGGCCAGTAGCCGGTCTTGAGGACATCATTCCACATAATCATCTTAATATCGCAAAGACCGTGAGAGAGACGCTCGAGACGGTATCTCGCCAACAATTGCTGGTAGCCGTACATCATCACCTCTCCGCGGCGTTCCTTGTGCAGACCATAGACATCATTGGTCATCCAGTAAGGATAGTTCATGTGCAAGTAGTACATGTATGTGTTCAGGTCGATGTCCTCGGTGAAGTAGGCGATTTTGTCATCCTTGGACAGAACATGGCGGACGCTCTTACGCCAGTCGATGACGACGAGGTTCTTGTCGGTAACCTTGATGCCGTAATAATCATAGATGAACGGGTCCTTGGCCGCTTTAGTCATTTTCATCATGAAAGCTTTGTTGATGATGTGACTGTCGACGAAGAAGTAGGGGTAGATTTCGTAAGGAGCAGGGATGGTGATGCCGCGGCAGTCGAGTCTGTGGAAGACGGCGCAAGTAAGAGCGTAGACGAACATGCCGCCGTTGATGCGCTCCCTAAGCCAGCAGGCGGTCCTGATGAAGGAGTCGAAGTCTTTGGCGAAGTACAGCAGTTTGAAGACCATGACTGCCTGTTCGATGTGCAGCTCATTGCTGTGGACGAAGATCTCGCCGCGCGGCAGCAGGCCCATCTTGAACATGCCGATGAACTTCTTCACGACATCAATTTGCTAAAAGAAGAAAATACGTTGAGTATTTATCACAAAAAGGAGGCAAGATTTATATTTTACTTTTGTTATAATTACCAGATACTTGTCGAGATTCTCCTCTAGTACGTATTCGCGGGCGACCTCTTTAATGTCATCGTACATTGTTGGCTGTAGGATGTGGTTCAGCAGTTTCATTATGCATATTTCCTTGGTCTTGATGTCCAAGTTCACTGTACCAAAAATGAAGTTTATTTTATCGATTAAAGAACACAGTAACAGAACACGTTGGTCTTATGCTTATGAAAATTTTATTCAGTGTTATATTAAAGGGGTAATTAATTTTGAAGTTTGCGTATCTCCGAAACTAAGTCGACTGTTTAAAAAGGATTATTATTTGACGGAGTGTAGATACTAAGAAAACTTGTGCTATCAAAGTGAAATTTTCCACGGAGACAGATTTTATTAAATTAAACAAAATAAGCGCTACGAAAACTTGGTCTGGCTGCTTTAAATAAAACTTTTACAAACAAAGCTTAAGTTACGCGGCTAGTATCAATTTTGTAAGTCCATGGAACTGGATAAAAATTTTGAAAAGTTTCTCAAAACAAATTTGTAAAGCACTTAAGCTCGCTTGTTGTCTAAGTATAACTTAGCCTTAGTTTTACTTGGTACATCTGCTGTTGAAATGTAGACTGAGGTATATTTATAGTATAAATAAAATAATCAAATTTTCTTCGTTCTTACGGTGAAGGAAAACATCCTGACAAAACCAGCACATATAAGCGAAGAAATTCTAATTGTGTGAAGTCAAAACCCGCACTGGGCGAGAGTGGTTGACTTAGGCCTGGTCACCCCTAAATTAGAATATGCTCCGAGCCCCTCAGGGACGTATAGTTAACTGGTGATGGTGATGAATCTAATTTTATGACTAACAGTTTACTTGCAAAACATCAAGTGAAAGGATTAAAATATATTTCAAATAGTCACTCCTGTAATATCGATCTATCTTAAGACTCGCGTTCGATTATCTCATTCTCAGGTGTCTAAGCCAGCCAAGTCAATAAATGCAAATGTAATAAAATTCACTCACTCATCGTATCCTTTCCAATAAGGAATCCATAATGGTCATCCTTGACGACGGAGGCCGTAGCCACCGCGAGGACCGCTGCCAACCACACAAGCTTCATGTCTGCCGAGGGGAATGTGCCTGATCCATACATACACCCGGCTTATATACTCGCTGAATAAGAAAACAACATTATCACCAACAAGCTTATTGTTTTGGCATCACCTCTATGATAACGATAACCCCTTTCTTTACGTTTCTTTTTATTGCCCTTGCGAGTTCGAACAACGCAGGTGATTGAAAGGGTTTGTTGCTCGCTAGTTTTGTATCTGCCATTGTTATAGACTGACACCGTTGAGATCCTCTTCAGCTAAACGGAGCAAGAGTTAAGCATTTAAAAAATGTCGTTACGTTGACTTTTTACATTACTTTCACAGAAGGGTAGCTAACATAGACGGGCATATTATAGGCTACTTTTTAAAAATTCCGCGCTGTCAAAATGGCAGACTAGACAGCTATCTCTGGAACGGATGGACCGATTTGGACGTGACTTTGACTGAAAGATAGCTGGTAGAAGGTAGATGCACGGGGGAATGTGGTAGATGACTTAAATCCGCGAAACGAAGTTTTCGGACGACAGCTCATGCAACAATAAAAATGCTTCGCTGTTTTAAGCTGTTTATTATTTAATTTCTAAAGTCGTTATGTTTCTTTTAATATCCTTGTTTTTCTACTTATCTGTTTACAATAGTGTATTGTATTTATCTATAAAAATGGAGGCGTGAAATGTATATAGGTTCATGACTCGCCTATCTCCCTTTACGACGTAATGGATAAACAAGCTACAAGCAACACTAAATAATAGACGTTCATAATTACAAGATAGCTTGTAACTGACCATATTAATGCTTTCACAACTCTTATTAACAACTAGCTGTTCCGTGCGGCTTCATCCGCATAAAATTATGAAAAATTTATTTTATTGTTTACATTTGTCAAATTATTAATAGCAAATGTCATAATGACATGATATGACAAACCTTAGCAATCTGTCTTTCTTGATGTTGGCAGCAACTTATGGTCTCTTACCCACATTAAAGATTTTATCCAAAATATTTACCCCCTAAGTTTAATGGCATGAAAATATATAGCCTAAAGCGTGACGTAAGTGTAGGGCTTTTTAAAAAAAAGAATTGTTCAAATATATGCTGCAATTGCTGACATCTTAAGCAACAAAGCAGTGTGTGTTTATGTTTTATTATAATAGTATAGATTATCTTTTTAATATCACTTATAAATCCATACTTAGGATCCTCTTAGGACATTAACTTTAGACTATCAATGCGGTTGTGAGAACTAACCTAAAATTTGTTTCACACCTCAAAAATTTTGTTAATGGATGATTCTTTTATAGAAGTTTTTCGGTAATATGCAATATTTGCAATTATTGTATAATGTTTTAATGAATTATATAATACAAAGTTGCTAAGTCGATACAATTAATAACCTTCAAATTATAAAAGAGCATTTATATAACAAACAAACAGATTGTTACAATGTTGCTATGTTTTTATTTCGAGTGCATTATTGGTTGTCATACCAGGTCATCTATTTTTAATTATTCGTTGCTAACTTTCGTGCGAATATTATTTTTTTATAATATAAGGTGGCAAACGAGTAAGTGGCCACCTGAATCCATTGAAATAGAAAGCGACGGCTGCCCATAAACATCCGCAATTGCAGATGCCTTGTCTACCCTTAATTGACGGAGGAGGAGACGCACATCAAGAGGACATTTCCCCTTCCTATGCATCTTCTCCACCGTCTAATCCACTTTTCCTTCCCATCCTTTCCTCTTAAGAAAAGGGTGGAAAGTGGACTAAAACTAGGCTTCCGGCGCCACACTCATCAGACGAAACGCGGAATTACTACCACTTCACACCTGTTTTCTGTGTAGTCGTGGTATTGCACAGGGGCGAGCCGACCCATTAGTGCGAAGATATTAAAGCGGGTTCTACCATATTGTCCACGAAGGTAATATTTAATATTTGAAACACTGATTATTCATGGTGTTTTAAGAAAATGTTAAGACTTAGTGTGAATTGCTACAAAAGAGCGTCGGTTGCTCAGTGGTTTAAGCACTTGACTTGTAATCTACAGGCCTTGGGTTTGAATCCCGCCACGTACTGTGATTTTCGAATTTTCAAATGTACATAATTTATCCGACGTTATTATGGTGAAGGAAATCATCGTGATGCCTGCATATATCGTCGAAATTCAAAGATATGTGTGAAGTCAACCAACTCACACTGGGCCAGCTAACTATGGCCTAGTCACCTTTACTTAGGGTAGGCTCCGAGCCCCTCAGTGGGATCCTATAGTTAAACTGGTATTGGTGGCTACAAAGGTAGATGAAGACCGAAGAAAGTATGCAGTGTGAGAGAGGATATGCTTAAGAAGGGAGTGGATTAAGATGACGGCTGATAGAGATGTATGGTATGGTACATCCTATGCCGACCCTCCCTAGGGATAAGGGCAAGTTGATGGTGTTTTTTAATATGGTTCAAATTTAACCTATAAAGGTCAAATAGTAATCGAAAAATGTAATCTATTGAGAAGGGAATCGCGTAATTTTGGCTTACACTTTCAGTTATATCTCAAGGATCGGATATTTCATTTATTCTTAACTAACTTTGGCCTGCGACTTTGTACGTTTGTAATAATAAAAAAACTTAGTGTTGACCGTAACCAGGATTTATTGAATTGTCTATTGTAACAAGTATAAATAAATATTAGTATGCTTAAAAAGACCCTTCATTTCAAGATTTTATTCAAAAGATTTCTACTTTTTCTTTTTTATTTGTTATTTTGTTTATTGTCAGCTTCAATTTAGTTGGAATAAAACTAGCAATATTCTTATGAAGTATTTTTCTCTTTTCAAGTTTTAGTACTTTCATTTAGTTCTTTGTTTCAAATATTACAATGATAAGTTTCATTACTTAAGCAGCTGTTTCTCACCAACTGTGTTTTATTTAAGAAACGAGAACCTACAATAACGAGACGACTGAAAAATAGGTTAAATTTTGAGAGGAAAAATGCTAATTTCAACGAATTCCCCAGCGAGCCTGAATTGAAAAATTACCACGAAATATTGAGAATAATTTTATTGTTTGAGAACCCCGGGCCGTCGGAATGAGAATATGCCAATTTCTTAGTAATACAAAGTTTAACCATTTGTATATGAGTTACGTTTCTAAATTTTACTTTGAAACTTTTACCATCTTACTTCTTACTAATATTATAAATGCGAAAGTTTAGATGGATGGATGTTTGTTAATTTGGCCTAAACGGCTGAACCGATTTCGGTGAAATTTGGTATAGATGTAGAGGATAGTCTGGATGAACACATATGCTACTCACTTTTTTTAAGCCCACGCGGACAGAGTCGCGGGCGAAAGCTATTATTTCTATAATATCTGTGAATCCTTAGTACCGTCATCAAAATTCAATGTACAAAAACAGCTATACTGAGATTCATTGGTAACTAATTCAGTACCTTAGTGTAGACTTCTCTTAAAATATCTCGCCAAAAGAATACCTTTTAATTAGTCTTAGGACCTGTCCCACCAAATTGTAAATTGTCTGATAATCGAACGTTTAAAATATGTGATGGAAATATCAGATGCTTTTGTCTTATTTGGCAGTGACGTAATTTTTAACCTATCTGAGCCTCTCTCTATAAGCCAGTGGTGGGACAAGCCCTGAGTGTACAATACTTATTGTAAAAAAGAAAGATTAGATTGCTTGTATTTTTGTTTCAAAAATTCTTTCGCCATGAGACTAGTACCTTATTACTTGGTAATTTAGTATATATTACCATCAATAGGAAGGGTGTGGATATGACAGAAAACAAATGAAGTATATTTTTTCCTGTCCAGAGGGAGCAGGACTGTAAATATTCTCTTAGGTGCCATCGTTGTTTTACAAGTTAAGGAATACAAAAATTGCATCGTTGACTATCACTTTAAAGGGTTATTAAAAGAGGTTCTTTGTCCACAGACCTTCCGACACGGGTTCCCGTTCTCCCCGACAGCGCTGGCTTGGGACCCTATACAGAAGTTGCTCGCGATCGGCGACAAGGGCGGTAACCTCAGAATGTATCCTTTTCAAAAAGTGGAGCTATACACTGGTATATGTAGACCTGAATAGAGATGGATGGATTGCGTGGAACGTGACATCAAGAAGGGAGTGATCACTTTAGATGACGGATGATAGAGTTATTTGGAGGACGAAAACCCAGTTCACCAACCCTACAGAAGTAGAATATGGTAGGGGTGATAACACATACTTGTTTGAAGTAATACTAAATTATAACATTGAAATTAAGGGCGAGAATACATGCTAGTAAAATGAAGTCATAGTTGTAATGCCCTGTTCACACTTAGCCAGAACAGTCGAACAGTTGCGACGGTCAGTCATAGATTGTATTGACTCTCTGGTACCAGTTATTTTTCACACTGTGGCAGTTAATTTTGAGATTGACAGTCCATTTATAGAGCTACTGACCAATTGTTCATGTGTCATGTGTCATGTGTCAACCGCGCATAATTAGCTTCTGGCTCAATGGTAACCCATGCCAGTAAATATTTTCATTAGACTGTAACACAAGACTCGACAGTTTAAAGCTGTAAATAAGAATGCTCTATACTAATATAAAAAATAATTCTTTTTTTTAATATATTGAGTTTTATTATCTTACGATAACCGATGACCTGTAACTAGTTGTATTAACGTCATCAGTAATTAATGCAACAATGTAACTTTTGTTGCTATCTGAGAAAATTTTAACTCGCTTTTTTACCGAATACATTAACAGGAAATTATTAATAACATAAGGGAAGAAATTTGTATATTGGCATAGCTATTTATGGTCAGAAGCATACATAAAGATAGCATTTGAAAACAATAGCGTTTAGAGTGTTCCTCGCACAACAGTTGTGCGATTGTCGATTGTTTTGCAGTTGATTCAACTGCTTAGTTGCACAAATAAAATCCAATATTGTGCGCTCATATAAGATCAGGAATCAAAACGAGACAGCGAATGCGAACGCTCTTACATGGGATTATTCCCAACCGTCACCCCGCTCTGTCCCCACTTGAAAATAAAAAGTTTTATGCGTCCAACCTTTTAGTCTCACTATCACCTTTAAGGTGACAGAACCGTTATGAATTCAAATAAGTTCCAACCGTCCCCTCGTCGCAAATGGTGGGACGGATGAAACATTTTTTAAAGTGGGGACAGAGCAGGATGACGGTTGGGAATAATATCTTACATGATGTTTTGTAAATGTATACCTATGTAGGTGATTGTACAGTGTACATATAGTTTGTCAGTGTAAACCCACTGTTATTCAACGGAGCGTGGAATGAGTCCAGAGTTGGCGCGTCTCGCCTCACTGAGTGCGGTAATTAAAATTAAATGACATTTATATGAAAACGAGAACTTTAATGGACGATTTAACGTTTTTATTATTACGCCATTTATCATGAAAATTATTGTAAAATGTGACAAAAGCAAAAATGATTAATGCTAGAATTTTTTAGAAACAAATATATATCACTAGTTTTCACCCGCGACTCCGTCCGCGTGGAATTAATAAGAAAACAAAAACGACTAGACTATATGATCTTCGAGGCTATCCTCTACATCTACGCCTTTCATCGGGAGCCATTCAACAGTTTTGACTACAAACTTTAACAAACATCCATCCATCTAAACTGTCGCATTTATAATATTAGCAAGACAACTGACTGAATCTAAGTTATTGTAAATCTTATCTTACTATTATTATAAATGCGAAAGTTTAGATGGATGGATGGATGGATGGATGTTTTTTAGAGTTTGTAGCCTAAACGGCTGAACGGATCTCGATGAAATTTGGCATAGATGTAGAGAATAGTCTGGAAGAACACATAGGCTACTTGCTTTTGTTTTTTTTTATTCCGCACGGACGGAGTGGCTGGCAAAAGCTAGTTGAATATAATTTCATATTGTAACACGCCCTACTACAACGCGCCTCGCTATGACGTACAGCCCCCGAGTTCTTCTTCCTTACAATATTACAATATCTATGTGTTTTACATTTTTATCTATATTGTAACTTTATAAATGCTATGCATGAAACGAAACGTTTTAACGACTTTCATACGTCCCTAGAGGACGCTAGCGCTGCCGGATGTCCGGCGATTATGTGAACCCGGCCCTAACTGGAGATATCTTTCGTCCTTTGTTAAGATTTATATTATATATTCTAGCTTATTTACTAAAGGTTGTTGATAGTGATTTATAGAAGCTTCTAGAACCGTGACATTTCCCCCCTCTCTTTAAAATATCTATCTCTTTACAACATAACAATAACCAGCTTTCGCCCACGTCTCCGTCTGCGTAGAATTAAAAAAAAACAAAAGTGAGTAGCTTACGTGTTCTTCCAGACTATCCTCTACATGTATGCCAAATTTCATCGAAATCTGTTCAGCCGTTTAGGCTACAAACTCTAACAAACATCCATCTAAACTTACGCATTAATAACATAAAGCATGATTTTAAGTCCTAGGTAATATAGAAAGCCCTCTATAGTGTCAAGAAAAACCACTGTAAAAAAATTTTCATTTCGACCTGTAAAAAACTTTTACCAATAAAATATTTGTATTATATTTTATTCCAAATGATGTTGATGTCAGTTTTTAATCACCTTTGACCTCGAGTCTTCGTCTATTAGCACACATGTCTTTCAGCGTTTTATTAACGTGTTTTGGCATATTTTATTCACCTTAAAACAAATGAAATAACGTCATTTTTGTAAATTCTTCAGTGGAAATCTACAGTACGTGATTTTTTTCTTATTTAAAACGATAAGATTCTTCACTCGAATCATTGAGTTACCATTATATTCCATGACAGGGAGGGTCCGCATTCTACGACGTTCATAGCCAGCCCACTCGATGAAAGTCAAATAGTTTTTTGCATAAATGAAACATATTTCTTCTGGTGGTATGAATAACTCCTGAAATTATTTGTATTACTTTATTTTTTACATTTTGAAGGATTAGTTATGTAGCCTTTTGCAACTGCTGGATTAAAAGAGTTCCTTAGTGAAGATTTATGCTGAGATGGTTTAAGTTAACTCAAAATGACTCTGAGTGTAATAGTTTATAATATTTACTATATCTATACTAATATTTTAAAGAGAAAAGATTTGTATTTTAAGATTTTTTATGTAAAATAACTCAAAAACTACTTTGCCGATATTAAAAATTCTTTCGCCGCTAGAAAGGTAATTTATCTGTGAGTAACATAGGCTATTCTTTTTTTTATTCCATGCGGACGAAGTCGCGAGCAACAGCTAGTTACTTATATAGCAAATTTTGTTTCCGACCAGTATTTTAAAAGAAGAAAATAAAATGAAGTCCCTTCATTAAATGAGCAAATTGCTCGTTAGCTAATCTAGCATCTCTAAAGACGTTAAGGAAACTTTGCTAACTGCAGATTAATTGTCCTCCGTACTAATTGATGTTTCCCGCCATTTTCCTTCTCGAATGTTCCTAATGAACCGCTCCTTTCGGCCGGAATTCGTCTGTTGGAAATTAACACTCGAATCTCCGTTAAATCTATTTGAAACTTTTCAAATTATAAAATGTTAATTTATCAACTGAAAGTTTTGAATAATTGTGTTTGTTTTAGTTGTAATTTCTTTATTTAACTGATTGAATCAAGACCATGTTCAATGTTGATGATACATTGTGTTGCTTTTAGAGCGTATTTTTCTAAACGTTTAGAGTTTTGAACTCAGTCCATCTTCACTTATGTTTACAACTTTATCTAGACCGGGACCCTAAGGTCCATGATAGAGCCGGCGAAGTACGGTACAGGGTAAAGAGTTCACAAATTGAAGGAGAATTTTAAGACCACTAATTTCAATGAAACCATTAATGAAAATGGGTTTCGTGAAAAAATAATTGAAAATTATCGGTATAATTTTCTTCTTATAGAGCGCGCGCACACCTTTGACTAAACTGTTTAGTCTCGCTTTGATTCCTAAGCTTATATGGAGGTGCGCATACTACTCCATTTTTAATTGTGCAACTAAACAGTTGAATTGGCTGCGAAACAATCGACAATCGCACAACAGTTGTGCGATAGAAAAAAGGCTAGCTCTCATTCTGCAATTCAAGATCTTTTTAATGTATTACGCCTTTATAGTATATTAGCTGTTGCTCGCGACATCGCCCACGTGAAATAAAAAAGTATAGCCTATGTTACTCACAGATAAATTACCTATGTGACGGTGAAAGAAATTCTAAAATTGACCCAGTAGTTTTTGAGTTATTTCAATACATACAAAAATACAAATCTTCCCCCTTTATAATATTAGTATAGATAAGTTCATAATAACTTGAGTTCAAAGTTCTTTAAGTATATACTCAAAATACTCGTATTTCGTATTAGCCTTAGTACTTAGAAATGTTGTAAATTAAATACGTGTTTGAAAGCGGACGCTGATTTACATTCAGACCCTTTTAGCGTCGGGACTAATGGAATTAATACTATCCAATAAATTACACGAATGTTAGATGCAAAAGCCGCGGTATATTTTGACGCCGCGGTATATTTGTTGCCCGCGACTTTTTTATAACCTAAGGTGGCAAACGAGCAAGCGAACACCTGAATCCACCGAAATAGAAAGCGACCGCTGTCCATAAACATCCACAATTGCAGATGCGTTAACCTTAATTGACGAAGAAGACGCACACAAAGAGGATATTTCCCCTTCCTATGCGTCCCCTACACCGTCAAATCCACTTTTCCTTCCCATTAAAGGGACTAAAGTTAGGAATCTATGTGTTCTACAAGACTACGTACATGTGTGCTGAATTTAAGCAGAAATATTGAATCACAGGATATATAATAACAAACATCCATCTATCTAAACTTTCTCATTATAATATTAATACGAAGTGATTACTTTTTTTAAAAAAGGGTTACTAACTTTTCATCTGTTCGTGATTGTTAATGAAACTGTTATAGCATAACATTATTATCGTCAACCGTTCATAAGAATACATATTATCTCTCTTTTTCAAATAGAGACGTTTTGGA